CCTTCATTCCACTGTGTCCCACCCTAGCCCTGCCCCTCCCTTCCTCATTTGCATGCTGGCCCCACCCTGCGCCATCCTGCCGGCCGTGTGGGCCAGAGCAGGTTGTGGTGCAGCAGGCGGGCGGGTGTGAGGGGTGCGGATGCCAGCGTGGAGGGACGCTGTGGCCAGGCCTGCGGGAGATGCTGCTGCCATGGCTGTGGCTGTTGAGGTGGGAAGCTGACACCACTCCCACCTCCCTGCATCCCCCCGTGCCCGCAGACATCGCGTTGGGGGTGGTGAGTCACGGGCCCTGGGGAGGGAGGGAGCCCTGCTGGTTGGGCTCAGGCTGCCCCAGGGGAGAGGGAACAGGGGGTGTCCCTGCACATCCCGCACCCCCTGTAGGGTCCCTGCATGTCCCCCTGGCTGCTGAGCCCAGGCACACAGGTGTGGAAGCATCCTTGAGGCTGCCCAGGTGGCAGGAAGGACACAGCAGGGTCAGGCAGCGCCCCTTGACCCCTGCCCCCCCAGGCCGCAGCCAGACTGGACAGGCTGCACGAGCGCCCACTCCTGCTGGCCCACTGGGTGATAAAAAGTTCATGATCCCGCCCCACATTCAAAAAGGTTGGACACCCCTGGATTAGCAACTATGGGCAATGACTGATACCACTCAGTCATACCATGTGGGATGTTTATACCTTGTAAAAGAGCTTGCATTTCTTCCTTTTAATTAGTTTTGTGTATTTGCTCAGATCCATAAGAGAGCTGTTCCTGAACTGCCTTGCCCCTCAGGTGCTTCCAAAATGCAAGTTCTTCTGGGTGCATACACACATACTAAGTTGACTTAAAATAAGGCAACTTAACTAAGTTGACCTAAGTCAACTTAAGTTAGGCCATGTTGCAGTGTACACATGTTCAGCTCCTTGACATGGTGGCAGCCATCTTGTGAATTAAGTTGACTTAAATAATATGAATCAAGATAATATACCTTGAAGGTCTATGACCTTGCCTACATTTAAATTGACCCTGCTCCACATACATGTGTATGCTCTGACAGTTAAGTCGACTTAAAAGTTAAGCTGGCTAAAGTATCAGAAATGTAATGTGTGTATGTACTCCCTGCCTCTGAACTTTGAGCCAGAAAGCTGAAAAGTGGCAAGAGAATGGGGATATGTATAGTGGGGGGGTATAATAAGTTACTATGTTGCAGGTATAGTATTACCAACTAGAGGCATTAAAAAACATTTTACTTCGTCCCCACAAAATATGATATTAACTTTCAAGTTTTAAACGCTATATTATTTTGATCAGCCTTTTTATGTTTGACCCCTTAGTGGGTTTAGTGATAAAAATAATAATATAGAGATGCTCCCTAATTTAGAACAGTTGAGAATTTGGATATAGTGTCTCAGTTAGGTAGTAGCCAGTTACCATAATTTCTCACATACCTTGGAATGTAACGTACACCCTGTTTTCAAAAGGCTGATGTTATTATGAGGAATGAGGGAGTGTTGGCTTGTTTGCTGTCACTCTTGGTGTTCAGGCTTCTTGAATTTGTGTGTTGTGTGAGGCCTATTCTTCCCAAATTCCTCTTCAGTGCCTTAGCTTAACTATAGCCTAACATAACTATGGCTTTGCATAACCAGAACTCATACAGCTGTATGAAGAGAAAAAAGATTTTACCTTGAAGTACATTTAAATAGCAGCAGGTAGGAAGCTGAGCCTGCTTCTTTGCCTGCTGCTGCCCCCACACACTGGATGGAGCCTACAGACTGATCCTACATGTTGGCCAATCCAGTACACTGGGTCTTGGACCACATGCCAGGTGTAAGCCTGCATACCAGGACCAGGGCTATACACCAGGTCCAGCTGCAGATTGAGCCTGTGCACAAAGGTTTGAGTGATACTTAGTAGCCATAGGGTCTGAAGAGAAAAATGGCAAAGTAAAATCCTCAGTCTTTTTGCATATTGTGGGTGAAGAAGCCCTGGCTGTATGTAACACTACCTTCACATAAGGCCAAATCTGCAGTTAAATGAAATGCAAATTTGAGGTGTACTCCATGCCAAAAAAGAATGAGACCCTTGAAAGACACTGACATTTTACATACAAATAAACAACATGAGAAAGTATAGATGTATAGATCAATATGTTACCAAGTAAGGAGACTGAGTAAGAACTTGTGCTTTTGGGAACTCAGCAAAATCTCTAGGATTATTTGTGGCATTGCAGATACTGCAATGCCACAAAAAAAGGCTACTGCACGAGGGACACTTGTCCCTAGAAAAAACTATCCAAATTTGCAGGACAGCAAAAATTGTGAAAATCCAGCCAGCAGAGCAGAATGCACCAAAAGGGGTCTTCTAGGCATTAGGCACAAAAAATGTAGCCAGAAATCCTCACGGGGTAGAATTTTCCATTGGCAAGAAGTATGCTTGGAGACAGCATGCTTACAGACAAGCATGCAGCAGGTATGGAAGGCAACATGGCCCCAAGCATACTGTATTTGGAAAACTCCCTTATAACTGTGATAAGATGAGCCATTTTGCCAAGAGCTGCAGATTTCACACACAAAAACTGTAAATGCATACCGTTGAGGAGGACTTTTTGGAGATATGGTAGAATCAAGCAAAGCCAATGAGAAGGACTGAATTTTGCCCATGGAAGCGCATAGAACAATGGTTCAATCAAAACTGGACACGGGAATTCAGGTTAATATTTATCATTAGGAGAATGAATATAGAAAATGTAAAATTGAGACCAAACATGAGTCCAACAAACATCAAAATAACTGTCTACCCAGGAATAAATATAGCAGTGAAAGTGAGTTGCATGCTAGCATCCAGTATAAATATATAAAGTTGAGTATATAAACTCCCAGTCATTATGGTACCTTGGGAAGTGACATCAATTTTGGGTCTGGCAAAAATGTAAAAAATCTTCATCTAGTTAAGCATGTGCTTGCAATACAAAAAGATACAAAATTCATGCCTCCTGATGATCCTCTTGGCCATCTCAGCCCAAATCTGGATAATCTTTTTAAGAAAAAAACAGTTGTGCCAGAACACAAGAAACAACCTTGTTCGTAAAAGAAGAAATATACCTATGGACACAGAAAAATACGATCATCTAGAAAGAGGAAAGCGACCTCAGCAGTCTGTAACTGATGAACTTCATGCCATGTCCAAAGTACAGCGGTCACATTTCCCAGATATTTCTATGCATCCAGGAGAGAGAGGAATTTGTTTTAAAAAAGAATGCAATCTGAGTTCCATATAGTCACATGACTCCAGGAGCTGAGACTTTAAGGAAAACATTTCTATGAGTTCCATGTTAAAACTGTAAGAGTTTACAGTGCTGCACTTACAGAATATGCTCCATCAGCTCTTTACACAACTGTCTGGGACCTGGCACAATGTCAAGTACTTTACTATGTCAGTTTCCCAGATCATGAATTTAACTGAAGTATTTGTATCCTCAGAGTCATCAACGTGGAGAAATCAGAGTTCAATGAGGATCAGGCAACATGCTGTAAGATATCCATGAGGAGGAGAGAGACTAGCTTGGAGGAGAATCAAGAATGGTTGAGTCTTTGCTCCAATCAGGTGATTAATCTATCTGTATCTTATGTAATGACCACCCCCTATATGGGTAGGATGCACATACCTGTCTGGAACCTTTTCTTTTGTGTTTGGATCCAGTCCCCATAGAAGACATTGGAAAACGTCCCATTGAATCCCCTAGGATTACCTTAGGTCCTGAAAGAGTAAGTCTGAAGCAGCAAGGCCTGACCTTAGGATGGAAGTGGCCATGGAGCCTTGGTCCCACTCTCTCTATGACCACCTAAATCAGGGGCGGGCAATTATTTTGGCTGGAGGGGCACTTTAGTAATATTGGTGAGATGTTCCAGGATTTGCAGGGGGAGGTGCTGACCTGGCCTGGCCCAGCAGTTTGCGGGGGGGCACTGGAATTGTTCTGCTTGCTGATTAGCTTTGTTTCTGCTACCTGCCCTAAGTGAACTCTCAGGTTCATTGTGTTCTCCCCCCAGTATCTGACTGGTTATTACTGGGCAATATTTGATGGCCACGGTGGCCCAGAAGCAGCGATAATTGCCTCCAACTACTTGCACTACTGCATCAAGCAGAAACTAGAGGAAGTGGTAGAAGGGATCATAAAAGCTCATCCCCCCATGCATCTAAAGGGCTGCTGCATTTGCAACAGTGACCCACTGTTTGTGGAGGAAAAGCAAATCTGCCAGGAAGATGTGATCATTGGAGCACTAGAGAATGCCTTTCAGGAATGTGTAAGTTATTCTTCCATTGATACCCACACAGCTACACCATCCTTTCTTCTGTGATACCCCATGCCAACAATGGCCATAAGTGACCTAAGCAGGGCCCACTGCTACTTACAGCTTAGTCCAGGTTCTACCTTCATGACTGAGACTAAAGGACTCTTCACTTGACTGAGGCTACACCACTCTTCACTTGTATTCTCCTCTTCACCGGAGAGAAATCCACCTCATGGTGCTCCAAACTGGGCTGGCTAGGGTGTAGTCACACTGCCCATAGACTCTTATCTGGAGCTGCAGCCTCCCACAGGGACAAGTGCCTCCACTCTTACTTGAAGCTCTCAACGTCCTTTTTATACCCCAACATTTACACTGCTTTAGTCAACTTCTGCGTGAATGCTCTTTCTGGTTTAAGACATGCTTATTGCTGTTTAGCTTAGACCTGTTCCTAATCAATTTAAACTAAATTGAAATAAACCCAGTTCAGACCAGATCAAGTTAGAATCATAGAATAGTAGAACCAGAAGGGACCTGTAAGATCATCAAGTCCGGTCACCTGCCATAGGCAGGAGGTAATTGGGTTCAAACAAGTTCAACAAAGTACTTGTCCAGCCTCCTCTTGAACACCTCTGGGGATGGTGATTGCACCACCTGTGCTGGGAGTGAGACAGATTTTTCAAGGGCAATGCAGGTAAGTGCCCAATCCACACAGGCTGCCCAGCCTGTTATTTCTGCCTGCGAAAAACCTGCCCTTTAGCTTCCTCTTGGGTTTCTAATGGTTCAGAAAGCTGTCATGAGCCGGAGTCCTGGGCTGCTACAGCAGAAGTGGACTAAAACAATACTAATTGTTTAACCACATCTCTAGTGATCATCCAGCATTTAGTCTTTGGCTCATTATGTAGGCATCTCACTCACAGAGTATTGAGCACTTAAACACCTTTTAAGATTCTGGCCCTCTGACCCTCACTGAGATACTCTCACTTCCACAGATCATGTCACAAACAGAAACTGTTTCTATCAACAGGATGAAATGATTGGTCAGGAGATGAAAGCTACAAACCAGGCAGCTGGCTGCACTGCTCTGGCTGTCCTCTACCTCCAAGGAAAGCTCTTTGTGGCCAATGCTGGGGACAGCAGGTGGGTTCAGATCCAAGCTTGAGTGCATTTTGCAGGCAGATTAAAACTGGGGAACTCAGTGGATGGTATGATACAATAGGTTGAGCAGATGGATCTGATGCATTGGGCTGCCCAATACACTGTTTCCTTGCTAGCATGTGATTCTCCTACAGCAGTGGTGCTCAAACTTTGTTGTAAGTGGGCCAAATTGTACAATCAGAAATGGACTGAGGGCTGCATAGAAACGCATTGCTGGAGCTGTGAGGGAAAAGAATGTAAAAGTGGTGGCAGCATTTGCCCCCTTGGGCTCTGGAGCTGCACGCATGCAGTGGCTCCAGCCAGTGACCACACTGACATGCTGGTGGGCTCAGAGAACTTGCTGCACAAGGAGAGCTCTAGCAGGGGCCCCACCAACATGCCAGTGAACTCATGATGGTGACAGGTTATTTATATAGGCTTTGTAAGCCACATCCAGCCTGCAGGCCATAGGTGACAGCCGGTGTGTCAAACATATGGCCTGCAAACTGGATCTAGTCCTCAGACCCAGGTCAACCAGCCTCAGCTTGCCTGACTTTTGTGGGGAAAGAGGGGAGCAAGTACCTGGATCCACACTTTTAGGTTCCTTGTGTAGTGGGGAGGGGGCATGATGAGGGAGGTAGGGTTGAGTAGGGAGTGAGAACACAGCTGATTGTTAGAAAACTAGCTTTTATTGAACAAGCAGTGAAAGGGAGTTCATTGATAGTAAGTGTCAAAGAAGGTGGGGGTTGGGAGAAGAGCTGGATGTATCCAAGAAGTCTGTATGTATACCGGAGCACCCAGTTGCAGCAGTGGAGGTGGCAGGTGAGAAGAGATACAGTGTGGAATGTGTTGAGGACTAACCAGACTTGTCATGGAATACTAAGCATACACCTATGACATAGAGCCAGTTCAAAATAGTACTTAATTTTTTATGTTCACTTTTAAAATGTTCCAGGTGACTTTAAGCCAGTTAGACATACAAACCTGTCAGTCTGCATGACATCAGAAATGCTTACACTCCTTTTTCCTTATCCCTTCAAGGGGCTGTGGGTTCATTCAAATATAGAGAAGCAGTGGCAGGGGAAGGTATGATTTTAAAGCATCCTATTAAGTCTCCTTACGTATAGTCAAATCCAGTGCTTCTTTCAGTAATGTTCTTTGTCACTATTAAACCAATTGTCCCAAATGCTATTCTTGTACTAGTGTGCGGTTACTGAAGTACCACCAGCACTAAATTAAGACAGCCATGTCCATTCTGTGCACGATTCATTCATGATGTAACTGAGTTCTTTCTTACTCCTTATGCTTGGTGTAAATGATTCCATAGAACAAAACAAATCAGTAGGAACACAGCAAGGAGGGGCTGTACTACAGTTACTATCACAGACAGGTACAATGACATACAACAAACCAAAATAATAATTAAAGTTAAGAAAGCATTAACTTGATGACTACATGTTTAGAATGTCAACTCTTGTCTACGCAGGGCAGTTCTTGTTCAGAAACACAGCATAATGGCTCTGAGCAGCGAATTCACTCCTGAGACAGAGAGGCAGAGAATCCAACACCTGGTGAGTGATTTCTCCTTTTAGCCACAGAACCTCTATCAACATTGCATATGCCATCACCTGCTTATAGTGCTCCTCTGCTGTTCACGTTGGATATATGGGGCAGTTTATGCAAGTAAAAATGAATGAACGCTGATCTGATATAAGCTTCAGAAAGACACAAAGGCCCATGGAAGAACACTTAACTTCCATCTCTAACTTCAGCATAGCTGTTAGACAGAAAAACTTTAAAAGCCAAATGGAACAGGAAATCACAAAACAAGAAATCATCCACAGACTGGATTGTGTTAAGTATGATCTAAGTGAGGAATATGGAGTCTTATCCCATTACCTGGATTAGCTTGTATGACTGTCCTTTATTGCTAGTTTGCCTCTCCTAGCACTGCCCCTGCTTTCCCTCCCTTCCTGTCTTGTATTCAAATCACTCTCCACTTTATACATTACTCTGTGCATGTCCTTTCATAGCATCTGACGAAATGAACTCGGTCTCATGAAAGCTTATGGTATCTATATCTCCAGTTTAGTTAGTCTCTAAGGTGCACATCTGCCCTGCCTTCATGTTAGCCTGTACCATTTACCAGTAGGAGGCCTACAAGTACCTCCAGCAGCAGAGCTCCTTCTAACATCATGAAACTTGTCCAGATTTGTCAGGCTGTTGTATGCTGTGCAAAATAAAGCATTAATGCTGAGAAATTGGTAAATGTCGCATGACCAGACTGGGAAGCACAAAACTCCTACCACTAGTTACAGAAAATTGTAGATGTGGTTTACAGTGCTTTGATCATAACCATCCTCTATATACCAACCTAGAAAATAAGGGGATCAAATCAAGTTTCTGCAATAAGTATAAAATCATAGAAAAATGGGACTGGAAGGGACATCTGGAGGTCATCTAGTCCAGCTTTCTGCCTGAAGCAGGTTCAGCCCTATCCAAAATATCTCATAAAAATCCTTGTCTAATCTTTTACTATAACTACACAGTCAACCGTTTCACACAACCATAAGGTATAGCATCCTCACCTGCCACTGATAAAGCAGGAGAACAATGTCAGCCAATCATGGTGAATTATATTACTTAGCCCTTATATAGCACTTCTCATACACAGTTCTCAGGTGCTATCATTCCTATATACTGAAGGATAAAGGCACCCAAGGAGGGCTGGGAGATTAGAAAGGACATGGTATTGGAAGCCGGATAGCAAACTGTTCCAACAGGATGGAAGCACAAGAATAGCAAGAGACTAGTATAGCTGCATAAGGAGTTTCTAGGATACCTCAAATGCAAAAGGAAAGCATATAGGCAATGGAAACATAGGCAGGTCGCCAAGGAAGCATACCAGAAAATAGAAAGAACCAGGCACAAAATCAGGAAAGCAAAGATAAAGAACAAGATGATGAGAGAGGTTAAAGACAACAAGAAAAGAATCTATAAGTATGACAGCCAGAAAAGAAGGACCAAGGAAGCTGTGGGTATGTACACCGTTAACTAGCCAGGGAGAACTCTTAACAGAAGATGCAAAGAAGATGGTTTGCCTCAGTTTTTACAAAATAATTAAACGGCAGCAAGACATCTAATAGGAATTATCTGAATAAGTAAGGGGGCAAGCTAAGGGATGAGATAACAAAAAGAGATGTTTAAAGACCTTTTGATTGATCTGAATTGATTTAAGTTCATCAGCCCTGCTGATTTTAATCTCAGGGTACTGATGAACTGGCAGAGGAGATCTCAGAGCCCTTGACAATGATCTTCCTGAAATTGTGGGAGATGGGCCAGGTATCAGCAAACTAGAAAAGGGCCTACATAGTGCCCCTCTTTAAAAAGGACCAACAGAAGGACCTAAGGAACTACAGACCAGTCAACCTCACACCTCAATAGCCAGAAAGTTACTGGAGCATATCCTAAGGAAGGCCATTTGCAAGCAGCTGAAAGAAGAAAGGCTGATCACAAGAAGCCACATGGATTTATGACAAACAAATTGTGTCAAATAAACTTTATCTCCTTTTTTGACGAAGTAACTACTGGGGAGGATGAAGGATATAAAGGTTTCCCTCAATTTATGCGCGTTCTTTATATGCAAATTCACTCTTATGTGATGAGCATATTTAGACCCATAATTCGTTATATGTGAGGTAAATTCGCTCTTATGCAATCAGCATAGATGCCCCCCCCTCCAAGCAGATAAGTCTGCGGGGGGAGGGGAAAGGGCCCCCACTCACCCCAACCCCTGCTGCAGTGGCCCCAGAAGCAGCTGGCGCCAGCTGCCTGTAGCTGCTTGGCTGCACCATGCTCTGCCTGCCCCACCGTGCCTGGACTCACCCCAGCTCCTTGGCTGCGCCATGCCGTGGTGCAGGCAGCTGGTGTCAGCTGCCGGGGCTGCTCCTGCACGGGCTGGGGTGAGTACAGACAAGCGGAACCCCAGGTGGCGTGGGGCACAGCATTCACCCCAGCCCTGGCTGCAGTGGCCCCAGGAGCAGCTGACACCAGCTGCCTGCACCAGGGCACAGTGCAGCCCAGGAGCAGAGGTGAGTGAGGACAGGTGGAGCACAGTGTAGCCCAGTGGCTGCAGGTAGCTGGCACCGGCCACTCCCAGGGCCACTGCAGCTGGTGCTGGGGTAAGTACCGCCCTGTTCCCTCTGCTTTGCTGCCTTGTGCAGCAAAGCACAAGGGAGTGGTACCACTGGGAGTGGTACCCCTCCCCCCACCCCTTCCCTAGACCCAGCCTCACTCACTCTCTCCCTCACCATCATGGGAACCTATCCCTATTTGTTACACTGTAAGGTGGGTTTGCTTTATGCAAATTCATTTTTTGCGCTGTTCTCCGGGAACCCATGTACAGCATAAATTGAGGAAAACCTGTAGTAGAGATAGCTGTGGATATAGTGTATCTGGACTTCAGCAACTACGGCTACAACCTGGATACCTGACACATGGAAGATATCGAATTTTAGACAATTTTAAAAAATGAAATCTTCATATTTTCTCAAGCAGGGAGCACCTGTGACCACCTGAAACCTGAGATCTTGCTCCTGCCTTTGCTTCAAGGTAATTTGCATAATGACAAATCCTCACAGGAGGTGAGAGACTCCATACCAGCTATGAGCTGACTGCCCAGAGGAATTTTCCATCTATTGACGCCTCTGTGAAATCCTATAAAATATGAACTTTCATTTCTACCCAGGAGAACTTTTACAATCTTTTCTCCAATGCCTGATGAAGGGTGTTTGTGCCTGAAAGTTTGCAATTAAAGAAATGTTTTTGCAAAAATCTTGTTGGTCCAATAAAAGATATCATCTCTACAATGAGTCCTGATTGCCTTGGACTTCAGCAAGGCTTTTAATGAGGTCCTGCATGACCTTCTCATAAACAAGTTGGAGAAAAATGGGCTGAACAAAACTACTATAAGGTGGATAGACAACTGGCTCAATAACCATAAGTAAAAAATAATTATTAACAGATCCATATCAGAACAGCAGGAGGTTTCAAATCAAGTCCCACAGGGGTCTGTCCTGGGCTCAATACTGTTTAATGCATTTCTTAATTATTTGGATGCTGGCATAAAAAGTTTCTTGAGTAAGTTTGCAGATGACATGAAACTGGGAAGGACTGTGAACAAGCTGGAGAATGGGAGCACAATTTAGAAGGATCCTGACTGGAAAGCTGGGCTGGAACTAACAGGATGAAGGTCAAACGTGCAAGGTGCTACACCTTGGAAAGAATAATCAAAAACACAAATATAAAATGGATTACACCTGGCTGGATGGCAGCACTACAGAGAAGAATCTGGGAGTTATGGCAGATAGCAGAATCAAAAGGGGAATGCAATTTTGGAATGCATGAATAGAGGCATTAGGTGTAAGATACAGGAGGTAATATAGTGCCTCTCTACTCAACACTGGTTAGGCCTCACCTAGAATATTGTATACAGTTTTGGTCTCCGCATTGCAAAATTGATATGGAGAAGGTAGAAAGGATCCAGAGGCCAGGAACGAAGATGATCAAGGTCTTGGAAAGCAAGTCATATGAGGAGAGGCTGAAGGAGTTTGTTCAGTTGGAGGAAAAGGAGCTTAAGAGGGGACATGATAGCAGTCTTCAAATATCTGAAGGGCTGCAATAAAGAAGAGGGAAAGCAACTTTTCTATCTTGCTGCAGAGAGTAAGATGAAGTTGCAATGCAATGGCTTGAAGTTTCAGGGAAGTAGGTTTAGATTGGATATCAGGAAAAACTTCTTCATTGTTAGAACAGTGAGGCAGTGGAATAGACTGCCTAGGGAAATTTTGGACTCTCCATCAGTGGAGATGTTCAAGAAGAGGGTCGCCTGCCACTGGTCCAGGATGACCTAGACATTGGCTTTGGCTGCAGCCAAAGCTGAGGATTTTGACTGGTGTATGCCAACGCTCCTGCTAGAACTAAAGTTCCTGCTAGGAACTTCTGTTCTCGGCTAGAGGGTCTTGCCCCTTTGGCACAGGGTCAGATTGATCACAATAATTGCGGGTCAGGAAGGAATTTTACCCCATGTTCAGATTGATAAAGACTGTAGGGGTTTTTGCCTTCCTTTGTAGCATGGGGCATAGCCCTCTACTTGGGATCTCTTGAGCCTATATTAACAATCTTTTATAGAAGCAGGACATTGGCTTCTGAGGTTCCCCTGCTTTATCCGTAACAGGTTAAGGTGTTATGTCTTATGTTGTGTCAGGGTTGATGGTAGATTTATGAAGAGTTTAGATTATGGATTTCTATAGGATGGTTTGGATAGGGATGATCCTGCATCAGGCAGGGGGTTGGTCCCTTCCAGTCCTATTTCTCTATGATTCTATTTTAGGTGAAGGAACTAGGCAATTAATGCAAAGCAATAAACTCTGGCGTTTACTGCCATTTGAACATGTGTGAAGGACTGCAGCACACTGAGCTGGGTCAGAACAGCCCCGGCTGGCAGGGGGGCCCCAGAGGTGAGCCTGCCAGCCTGGGGCTGCTCCCCCCATCTCAGTATGCTGTAGAAGGGCTGGCTGAGTCATGAAGGTGCTCAAGTGAGGGATAGCTGGCAGGCAACCCCCCACTGAAGCATCCTCGCATCCCCGCCATCCAGGGCAGCATCTACATGTGCACTGTTGTGGAGTAAAAAATTCCACAGCATTAAAGTACTTGTATTTAGAAGTATTATCCTGCTGCAGAGTTGATTAGTTTACTCCAGCCTAATAGGGATGCACATGTAGATATGTAATGTTTACTTCAGAGCTAATTAATCTACTCCACAGTAAGTGTCTCATGTAGATGCACCCTCACTTGCCTAAATCACATGGCAAGTCAGTGGCAGAGCTAGCAAGAGAACACAGACGTATTACTGACTTCCAGTCATCAGTCTATGAGACCAAGGCTATTCAGGTTCAGAGGAGATTCAGCACATTCCTAATCCTCAATATGACTGTTCCATTTTCATTTTTTCTGCAGGCTTTTCTCAACCCAAAGCTCTTGGCAGATGAGTTCACACGATTTGAATTTCCAAGGAGATTGAAAAGAGGTGATGTGGGACATAAAGTCCTTTACCGGGATTATTTCATGGCAGGCTGGTGAGTCTCCAGCACTCCAAGAGACCCATTGTAATTGCACTGACTGTAACAGGTCTTTAGAAAGCAGCTCAGATATTTTTATTTCTGGCCATGAGGTAATGTAGGGGAAGGAAACATGCCCCAGTGAACATTTCTTTCCTGCGTAATGCTCTTTGGGAAGAAAAGTGTATTTAGTACTGATGACAGGTGTTAGATAGAGGGCAGCAGGGCTGCCAATCCAAAGTCCTCTACTCAAGAGATAAAGCAATAACGCTGCAAGCTCCCCTGCCAGCGTGCCTCAGTACCTGCAGACTTCCCTGGAAGAGTAAGGAGGGATTTTAGCCTCAGGCTGTTCAATTCTACAGCTTCCTTTACTGAAGTTGTCAACAAGGACTTTAGTGATTTGGAGCTGGCGATTCATTTCATACTATTTGGTTCACAGTCATAACATAAAAATCAACACCTAAACCTTATGCTAATAGCTTAGTAATTCCCACACCAAAATGTGCTGGTGTGTCTATACTGGACTTGAGAATGAAGAGTACAAATGAACTGTCACCCAAATTCAGCCTCCCAGGGCAGTGCTGTTACTTCAAAAACAGGCTGCATGCCAGCCATGAGCAAGCCCAGGTCATGGCTGTTTAGAAGGACTGTTAGGAATTCAGGAAACAGAAATATAGGTTTGTAGAATGAATACTAAGCTTAGAACAGGGACAAGTAGGATTCCAGATGGTGAGAAAGGGAGGAAATGTCATTGTGGAGTTGAGGCTAAGCCTCAGGTGATCTGGAGGCAGTTCCCAACTTAGACACAGACGTGCTATAAAACTTCGGGCAAGTCACTTAGCTTCTCTATTCCTCAGTTCCCTGTCCATAAGGAGCTAGTAATATTTTCCAGTCACAGGGGTGTTTTTGAAGATAAGTCCATACAAGTTTGTAATATGCTCACACAATAGTGATGACAACAGCGATTGAACAAAACCAGGATAATGAGGTTCACAGTCGTAACGTAACATAACATAACATAACATAACATAAATATGTCTATTTTAGGGGATACAAGACAGTGGAAAAAGATGACCTCAAGTACCCTCTCATCCATGGTCATGGGAAGCAGGTAACTGAATGCTTTATAAACATACACCCTCCTAGGCCTGCATATGCAGATGGCAACAGTTGCTGAGACTCCTTCAATTTGCTTATTTAGAGACATTTCAGTGAGGCTTGGTCTAGTTGCCTCTAAGCTAAGTAGTCTCTTCAGCCAGCGTAGAGAGAAGGTCTGGGGAATCATGCCAGGCAAAACTCTTCAGACTGCTTTTGTAACTATGCGGTGCTTCTTGATACCTGCCTGGTGCAGATTTCATAGACATTAGGGCTGGAAGGGACCTTGAGGGGTCATAGGAGATTCTTACCAGGAGTCTCTCCATACCTATAACTACTCAACAAGGCTTGCAGACCCCTCTTAAAGGGGCAGGCAACCTTGTTACAGGGACCTTTAAAAGTCCACCTGAGAGCCTCTACCCCACACAGACAGATGGATTGGTGGAGATATTTAATCAAACTTTAAGGAAGTTAGGTAACAGGAGAACCCAAGAAATGGGATGTTCTTCTACCCTATTTGTTATTTGTGATCCAGGAGTTTTCCTAATCATCAATGGTGTTTTCACCTTTTGAACTCCTGTAAGGGGGAGAATCTCATGTTATATTAGACCTCCTTCAGGAGGACGGGCAGACAGGGCGTGAGATCTCAAAATGTAGCGCAGTATGTTCTCCAGCTATTGGAATGGTTGGATCTTGAGAGGGAATTCAGCCAAGAGATGCTCTGCCTTCTGTTATGTTGAGGACAGGAACAAAATTCAAAGCAGAATTAGATATTTATATGCATGTAGGCTTTGTATCCAGAGTTATAATGAATAATGACACTATCTGGAATGGATATTTAAACATTGTGCTGCAGGGCTTGTCATTTTTGATCAACAGTCAGGGAGAGATACTGATAGGCACAGGCGGAGGGAGAGAAACTATTATTTGGGGGGACTGAGCGCTTGCGCATGTGCACCCACACACCTTCCCCAGCAGGCAAGTCCGTCATGAGGAAGAGGCATGGGGGCCAGATCGAGGTCCCCCCAGTGCAGAAGGGAGTGGGGCAGAGGCAGGGGTGAATGGGGCCCCAGGGTAAGTTGTGGGAATATTGGAGCCCCAGGTGGCTCATCCAGGGGTGCGGGGTGGCCCCCGCCCCTGTGCACCCCAGAGGCCCAGGGGGCACATGCCCCCCCAATCTGTGTGCAGGGCAGAGGCAGGCTGCCACTGTGGGCTGGGCTCTGCACCCTGCTGCTGGAGCCCTGGGCAACCCAGGAAAGGCAGGCATGTGGCATCATGCTGCTCCTGGGGCAGCAGCAGTGGGGCCAGAGCCTAGCCTGCAACAGCAGCCTGCCTCTGCCCCACTCCCTCCCACACTGTGGGGGCCTCAATCTGGCCCCCCACTTGTCTTCTGTTTCACAGAGTAGACTGAAACTTGCCTAGTTGCCATGCTGGGCAGTAAGCCACATGCTAGGGCTGCAATCCCTGGCAATGACTGGCCAAGTTCGCTGACAACACCAAACTCTGGGGTAAAGCATCCACACCTGAGGACAGGAGGGTGATCCAGGCAGACCTTGACAGGCTCGTGGAATGGGTGGATGAGAACCTGATGGTGTTTAACACTGAAAAATGCAAGGTACTCCACCTTGGGAGGAAAAACCTGCAGCATGCTTATAGGCTCGGCAGTGCTACGCTAGCTAACACTACAAACAAAAAGGACTTGGGGGTCATGATTGACCACAAGATGAACATGAGCCTTCAATGTGATGCTGCGGCTAGTAAAGCAAGCAAAACGCTGGCTTGAATCTATAGATGCTTCTCAAGCAAATCCCAGGATGTCATTCTCCCCTTGTACTCAGCCTTGGTGAGGCCACAGCTGGAGTACTGCATCCAGTTTGGGCCTCCACAATTAAAAAAGGATGTGGAGAAGCTTGAGAGAGTGCAGAGGAAAGCCACGCGCATGATCAGAGGTCAGGAAAACAGACCTTATGACGAGAGGCTAAGAGACATAGGACTCTTCAGCCTGGAAAAGTGCAGGCTCAGGGGTGATTTGGTGGCCACCTATAAGTTTATTAGGGGTGCTCACAAGGATCTGGGGAAACGTCTGTTCACCAGAGCACTCCAAGGGATGACAAGGTCGAACAGTCACAAACTCCCCCATGACCGTTTCAGGCTGGACATAAGGAAGAACTTCTTTATTGTCTGAGTCCCCAAGGTTTGGAATAGACTGCCACTGGAGGTGGATCAAGCACCTACTTTGAACGCCTTCAAGAGACATTTGGATGCTTATCTTGCTGGGATCCTATGATCCCTGCTGACTTTCTGCCTCTGGGGCAGGGGGCTGCATGCGATGATCTTCTGAGGTCCCTTCCAGCCCTAGTGTCTATGAATCTATCAATCTTGGCTGCATGTCTGAGTGTGCGCACCCCTCTCTCCTCCCTGCTGCAGCCTGGAACCCATGGACTGCCCTGCAGCCCTACCTGCTGCCCCGCATTTTGGGGGGCTAAGCTGCATTAGCACCAGCCTTCTGCCACCTATGCCGATAGGGGAAGTTATACCATCCTCTGAGTAATGATAATTAAGACAAAAAGTATACAAAATAAATGGACTGTGACTCCAAATTTAATCTGGCAAATCTAGTGTTCCTATAACTAGAGCCAGCATCATCAACTAGAGGTGGGTCTGCAAAACATTCACTGCTTCTGCCCTCATTGTGACTGATTCATCTTCACTGACCACACTACTGTACGAGAGGCAAGGATTTCTTAGGGTGATCTCCCTTATTATCCCAACTACACAGTTGGTCCAAAGTTAAATGAGCTTTCAAATGCAAGACATTCTTCCTCAGGTCTCTGATCACAGGAACCAGGCACAGCATAATGAAAAACAGCAGAGGGAAGTGGGTGAGAGTTCTCAGGGGTGGCAGACATACAATTATCAGAAGAAAAGAAGCCAATTACTGGGAGGATGGTCATTTTCACCTTTCCTGTGTGGAAAGAATTCATAGGAGATGTTGCTATGTAGTCTGGCTTCTGTGCACACTACTGTGTATAGAGATCTAGGCAGGGGATTTCTTAGAGGACACCGTTGCGGGTTAGCAACTCTCTGCACATCTGGGTCGGACTATCATGCCAGCCTTGTGCTTCAGCTTCCTAATTGCTACCCACTTAGCAGAAGCTTGTATTACTTTTATTTTGCAAGGATCACCACAAGGAAAAGCTGCCTTTTATTCTTTAAGAAGAGATTACTTTCCTTGTTCCCCAGAATTAAGGGTACTTGCCAAAATCCTTGTGGCCCTGAGCTGAGCTCCTGCTCCAGCACAGTAGATCTTTGTAGCACCTACAGACTTGTGCTGCAAGCTACGTGGCTAGCTTAGCTGATGCCATTGAGTTTGCATTGGTGAAATGTTTCAGAGGCATTTGCTCCATCTAACATTTCATTCATGTTGGGGCATCCTCAATTTGAGTCAGCCTCAAGTGGCCTGTCCCATTATCTGTGTGGCATGGTCCTTTCTCTCTTTATGAAATTCTGCTTGGGTCAGAGGCACAGTAGCAAGACCCAAGGACTTGCAGCTTCTTCAACTCATTCACAAAACCATAGTCCAGCATGACACAAGTTTTTCTGTGTGTGGTTCCAGACTCGTTTGCTGGGGACTTTGGCTGTCTCTCGAGGACTGGGAGATCACCAGCTGAAAGTTACTGACACCAATGTTAAAGTCAAGCCATTTCTTTCCTGCATCCCTAAGGTGAGTGAATACGGGAGATGGAGATTACTAAAATAAAATATAGAATCATAGGAATGTAGGGCTAGAAGGGACCTCAAGGGGTCATCAAGTCAACCCTTCTGCTGAAGGTAGGATCATCCTTGACAAACCATGCCAGTCAAGTGTTTCCCTAACTTGCACTTCAAAGATTCCTAGGATGGAGATTCATTCCAGTGCTTAGCCACCCTCATAGCAAGAAAGTTTTTCCTTATATCCAATCTAAATTTAACTGGCTGTAATTTAAGATGATTGCTCCTTGTTCTGTCCCCTGCCAGCCACAAAGAATGCAAGACAAGAGCATATTAAAAAGAAAATTTGCAAAACACCTTCAAAAGACAAGCCCGGGAACAAAAAATTATAAACTTACTAGACATTAAAAATCAAGGACTGAATGCATATATGACTCATTATACACTGATACACACACATTTATGGCCCATTATAATCTGCCCATGATCCCAGCTAATCTTTCTGCATTCTGCACATGTTAATGACCCTCTACACACTTGAATGGACTTCCTCTTCCACTAATCAAGACTATCCTTTTCTTCTGCATTTTTCTTGTCTGTTAGTTATTCCATTTATTGTCTCTGTTCTTCTATTTCACAGCTCAGCCAGCTTTTCAGTCATCCAGGACCTCACCCAATCTCCGAGGTTCTCAAGAATAATAGCAATGGCTCTGACATTACTACAGTACTTTAGGGGACGCATCCCATCTGACCCTATTGACTTGAAAACACCCAGTTTCTCTAAAGGTAGAAAGAGAAGTTGCCTTTCATCACCTGTATGCTGCCATAAAAAAAAAAAATTACAGTAACACAAAGTGACAGCAAATAAACATCCATACCTTTTGCAGCACCACAGCATGGCTGCAACAAAAGGTAGTAATAAATTATGCTCCTTTATTGTGGCAGATGTTTATTTGCTCTATGGCTAGAGCTGCCTGTACTGTCCCACCCCCACACGCAAGCACACCTGAGGCTTGAGGGGCCCAGTCCTGTGCAGGACTGGACCCAAGCCCGGGGGAGCACCTACCCAGATTTCCCTGCCTGTGGAGACATGCTCCTAGCAATCTATAAGCACATCTGTGAAAACAGGAAAAGTTGGGTTTCCTTGCTTCCAGGCTTGCCCCAGATATTGGTGGGGATGCACTGCTGCAAGCAGGGAATCCTGACTTTTCCTGCTTCCAGAGATGCATGTCTCTGGGAACAGGGAAAGCCAGGCCACTCTAGTGCTGTGACAAAGTTGGGATCACCAATCAGTTGAGTGACAGCCCAGTTCTGGGACCTTAACGGAGTGTCAAACTTGCTTCGGTGCAGTCCCAAACCTGAGACCTCCAATCAGCTGATAGGCAGTCCTAGTCCTGGGACTGCAGTAGAGAGTCAAACATGCTCCAGTGTGGTCCTGGGGCTGAGACCACACTGGACTGTTTTGGATTTCCATACTTCCAGAGACATGACCCTGAGATCTCTGCAGGCAGATCTCTGGAAGCAGGGAACACATCACCTGATGACCCGCAAGATCAGTGGGTAGGACAACAGGTGACATTTGTTTTCCACAGAAAAGTTGATCAGCTGTGCCAGGAGCACAGCTTTGTAATCAACAAAGTTGATCAGCTGTTCCACTTCATTTGGCAACATCTTTTCTTAACTTAAGTAATCCCTAACCGTTCTTCCATTACTTAGGGCCAATTATCTCCCCCACATCCTGGCTGCCAGCTGCACTTGCTATGTGATAGCTGACCTTGTTTGTGAAGGCTAATGTAAAAAAAGGCAATAAATACTTCAGCCTCCTTCACATCATCCATTAGAGACTGCACTCTTTGCTCAGTAAGGGACGTACACTTTCCTTGGTCTTTGTCTTATTTCTGACATACTTGCAGAACCCTTTTTATTTCCTCTTAAATCCAGTGCTAGTTGCCATTCAAATTATGCTTTGGTTTTCCCCATTTCTCACTGTTTGCCCATGCAATACTCTTATACTCTTCCCTAGTAATATGGGGCAGTTTCCATTTTTTGAGTTTCAATTTATTGAAGAATTCACTGTTTAACCAGATGGTCTCCTGTTGCACTGCCTGTTCTTTCTTCACATCAGGATGCCTTGCTCCCACATCCTTAAATTTGGCCTCCTAAAATTACAGCCAGTTCTCCTGGACTCCTTTTCCCCTCAGACTTGCCTCAGGAGATTATGCCCACCAGTTCCCTGAGTTTGTTCAAAGTCAGCTTTTCTGAAGTCCAGTGTCTCTGTTTACTAGGCCTGTGCAAAGAGGCTAGTATTTGCTTTGGAATCGGGGGACAGTGATTCGGTTTGGAGATTCGAATCGCTGTCCCGATTTGATTCAGTCGAATCTGAATTGGAGATTCAGCAGCAGCCAAATCTCTGACTCAGCCAGGCCAGGCCCATCCCCCGCCCCTCTCCCAGCCCTGCAACAGCTGCCCCGCACACCCCAGCTCCCAGCATTTGGGGGAAAAAAAGCCCCGGCTCAGCAGGTGCTGCCGGGTGGGGGGCAATCTGCACTTCCCCCCCACTGCCCCATGCTGCATGGGGGGCTCTGCATGAGCCCCTGAACCCCTCCCCCCGCTCCCCCACGGGTGCCCTGCACGGGGCTGTCTTGGACGGCCAGAGCAGACTCGAGATGATTCAAATATCACTCGGTCGTTTGGGCGGGCTGGTGAATGGAGAGGCAGACACAGCTTATTGGTTGCAAAAACTTTACTTACGCCGCTTGTAGCCGCAACGCAGGTGGTCCGGTCGCTTGAACAACTATGTGAGTTGCTCCAGCTGGCAAGGCTCAGGCCAGCTAATCCGTCCACAAATTAAGCCGGCAGGGAAAGGGTACGTCGAGGATTGCGCTCGGCGATGGGGAGAATTGATAGGTGATCAGTCTATCGATCAGCTCAGCCGCAAGTCAGATCTCTTTAGAGGCACTCTGCAGCGTGCTCAAAGTTCTCCGACTTGGGCGGAAGTCGCACGAAATTTTAAACGGCCAGCAAGCCAATTACTA